GGGGGGGAGGGGTGGGGTTGGTCCCCCTCGGATTCGGCAGCTGGATGGGGAGAAATTGGGGAAAAACAGGAAAAATCAGGAAAAATCAAGAAAAATGTTGGGATTTGGGGGGAATTTAGAGGGGAAGTCCTGAAAATTCCAAGGATTTTGGGGGGATTTTGAGGGAATTCCCGAAATTTTTGGTCGAATTTTAAGGGAATTACTGAAAATCCCCAAGGTTTTGGGGGGGATTTCCTGAAAATTCCAAAGATTTTGGGGGGAATTCCTAAAAATCCCAACGATTTTGTGGGGATTCCAGAAAATCCCAAAGATTTTGGGCGAATTAAAGGAAAATTCCTGAAAATTCCAACGATTTCATTCAATTTTGGGGGGAATTCCTGAAAATCCCAAAGATTTTGGTTAAATTAAATTTGGCTAAATCCTCTCTTGGTTGTGTTGGCCAACTGGAAGAGTCCAAACCCACTTTGGGTTGCGTTGGCCAACTGGAACATCCAAACCCTCTCTTGGTTGGCTTGGCCAACTGGAAGAGTCCAACCACGCTCTTGATTGGGTTGGCCAACCGCGCTCTTGATTGGGTTGGCCAACTGGAAGAGTCCAACCCATTCACGGTTGCGTTGGCCAACTGGAAGATCCCAAACCCTCTCTTGGTTGGGTTGACCAACCACGCTCTTGGTTGGGTTGGCCAACTGGAAGAGTCCAACCCCCGTTGACTCACCGGCGCCCAGGCCACGTCTCCGGTGCGATTCGGCGAAGGCGGTGATCCGCGGCCAACTGATGGCAATCTCCTCGGCTTTTGGGGGAAAAATCGGGAATTTTTGTGAATTTTGGGGAATTTCCACACCAAATTTTCCCATCCCGGCTCCGTTTCGGGGTGAAATCCCCAAATTTTGGGCGAATTTTGGGGATTTTTTAGGGGGAAAAGCATTCTGGGGAAACTGAGGCAGCCAAATTCCATACAGAATTTTGAAGGCTCCTAAAATTAATTTTGTCTCAAGATTCCCCCAAAAAATCCCAAAATTCCACGAAATTTTGCCCCAGGAGCTCCCAAAAAATTCCCAAATTTGTTCCTTAGGGAATTCCCAAAATTCCCACCCCCCCAAAATATTTTAAAATATTTTGAAATAATTTAAAAAATAAAACTTAAATTATAAATTTAATTTTATTTTAACATTAAAATTTAAAAATATTTAAATTATTAAAAATATTCCCCAAAAAATTCCAAAATTCCCTTTTCCCCCAAAAAATTCCCAAAATTTCGAGATCCTCTTACCCAAGGAAATGACGTTCTCGTAATTCTCCTGCATCTTCACCCCAAATTTGGGGGATCCCCCAAAATCCCAAATCCGAGCCTGGAAAATCCCAAAAATCCCCGTCAGGATCCCAAAAATTTTGGGAATTTTGGGGCTTTTTGTGGAGCTTTATCCCGATTTTTGGGGTGGATTTTGGGATAATTTTGGGGGGATTTTGGGGTGGATTTGGAGGAATTTTAGGGGAAATTTTGGGATAACTTGAGGATTTTTGGGGGGGAATTTGGGGATAATTTTGGGATTTTTGGAGGGAATTTTGGGGTAATTTTAGGATGATTTGAGGGGAATTCAGGGATGATTTTGGGATTATTTTGGGGAATTTTGGGGCGGATTTGGAGGGAATTTTGGGATCATTCTGGAATGATTTGGAGGGAATTTTGGGATAATTTCAGGGGGATTTGGGGGAAATTTTAGGGGAAATTTTGGGATAGTTTGGGGATTTTTTGGGGGGAATTTTGGGATAATTTTGGGGAAGATTTGGGGGAAAATTTTGGGTTATTTTGTGGTAAATTTGGGGGAATTTTAGGGAGTATTTGGGGGGAAATTTTGGGGAATTTTGGGGGGATTTTGGGATGATCTGGGAAGAATTTTGGGGTGTATTTGGGGAGAATTTTGAGATAATTTTGGGATAATTCTGGCATGATTTGAAGGGAATTTTGGGGGGATTTGGGGGCAATTTTAGGATGATTTGAGGAAGAATTTTGGGATAATTCTGGGATGATTTCGGGACAATTTGGGCTGGTTTTGGGAGGAATTTGGGACTCGCCGGTTTTGGGGATCTCCCTGTGCCGATCCCGAAACTAAAACTGATCCCAAAACTGATCCCGATCCAGTTCGAATCCCGCTCCCGGTCCAGACCCGGTTCGAATCCCGCTCCCGGTCCAGACCCGGTTCGAATCCCGCTCCCGGTCCAGACCCGGTTCGAATCCCGCTCCCGGTCCCAAACTGGATCAGATCCCATTCCCGATCCCCGTCCGGACCTGATCCCGGACTCGATCCCGGTCCCGATCCTGCTCCTGATCCCGACCCGGTTCTAATCCCAAAACCGATCCCAACCCGGTTCTAATCCCGATCCCGGTCCTGATCCCAAAACCGATCCCAACCCCGTTCTAATCCCGATCCCAGCCTGGTCCCGGTTCCGATCCCGTTCCAGCTCCCGGTCCCGATCCCAAAACCGATCCCGGTTCTAATCCCGATCCTGATCCAACTCCCGGTCCGGACCCGCTCCCGATTCCGTTCCCCATCCGGTTCAAATCCTGCTCCCGGTCCCACTCCCGGTCCGGTTCGAATCCCGATCCCTCTCCCAGTCCCTATCTCGACCCGGTCCTGATCCGGTTCGAATCCCGCTCCCGGTCCGGACCTGCTCCCGATCCGGTTCAAATCCCGCTCCCGGTCCCGGTCCCGCTCCGGTTCGAATCCCGATCCCTCTCCCAGTCCCGATCCCGACCCGGTCCCAGTCCCGATCCCGATCCGGTTCTAATCCCGATCCCGACCCGGTTCTAATCCCGATCCGGACCCGTTCCCGCTCCGATCCCGCTCCCGGTCCCGGTCCCGGTCCCGCTGGAGGCGGCTCCCGGCGTGACCCGGATACAGAGGAGCCGCCGCCTCCTCCCCCCAAAAAATCCCAAGGGATGCCCAAAAAATGCCCAAAATATTCCCAAAGATTTGCCCCCAAAAATCCCAAAACATTCCCAAAGATTTGCCCCCACAATTCCCAAGATATCGAAAAAATTCCCAAAGATTTGCCCCCAAAAAATCCCAAGGGATGCCCAAAAAAAAGCCAAAAAACTTCCCAAAATAGCCCCAAAGAATTCCCGAAGATTTGCCCCAAAAAATCCCCAAGTTCCCACAGAATTCCCAAAGATTTGCCCCAAAATTCCCCCCAAAATTCCCAAAACACCCCAAAAATTCCCAATTTTCCCAGGGATTATTCCCAGTTTTCCCCCATTTCATCTCCAAAGAAAAATTCCACGAATTCCTCACTAAATCTATTTTTTATTCACATTACAAACAAAGAAGAAAATTCCAAAAAAATCCCAAAAAACCCCCGGGGAAAAACCCCGGAATTCCCACCCCAATCCATGAAGATTTTTGGGATCAAATCCTTTTTTTTTTCCCGATTTTCCATCCTCATTTTGGGATTTCCTTCCCGATTTTTCAGGATCTTCCGGCTGAATAAATACAATAAATTACGGAACCGCCCGGAATTCCCGATTTTCTTCAAAACCTCCGGATCGGGGCCTTTCCCCCCCCAAAAAAAAAAATTCCAAAACCACCCAAAATTCCAGGATTTTCTCCAAATCCATCCCGCTGATTTTTATTTTTCCTGGGAAAACTCACGGAAAAAACGGAAATTCAATTTTTTTTTTTTTTTGCCATTTCTACCCTACTTTCCTACTCTACCCTACCCAAAACTACGGTCGGGAACGTCGGAAAAAATTCCCGATTTTTTTTCCGTTTCACCCTTCCGGCATTTCCTCCTCTCCGTGACTCCGGAGATTCCTCCGGAGCTGGGATCCCATCCCGAAATTCCGGCCGGAATCGTGGAGCCGTCGGTGCTTGGCCAACGATGGAGGATCTCCAAAGGTTCTTCCGCATTTTTGGGGTTCATCCATGGATTTCCCAATTTTTTGGGATTCCTCATGGAGCCGTTGATGCTTGGCCAACGATGAAAGGTCTCCAAAGGTTTTTCCGCATTCCGAGCAGGATTTTTGGGATTCATCCAAGGATTTCCCAATTTTTTGCGATTCTTCGTGGAGCCGTTGATGTTTGGCCAACGCTGAAGGATCTCCAAAGGTTTTTCCGCATTCCGAGCAGATTTTTTGGGAATCCTCATGAATCCGTTGATGTTCGGCCAACGTTGACGAATCAACCAAGGATTTTCCACATTTTTGGGATTCATCCAAAGATTTCCCAATTTTTTGGGATTCTTCATGGATCTGCTGATGTTTGGCCAACGCTGAAGGGTCTCCAAAGGTTTTTCCACATTCCGAGCAGGATTTTTGGGTTTCATCCAATGATTTCCCAATTTTTTGGGATTCAACCAAGGATTTCCCAATTTTTTGGGATTCATCCAAGGATTTCCCACTTTTTTGGGAATCCTCATGGACCCGTTGATGCTTGGCCAACGCCGATGGATCCGAGAAGGACTTCCCACATTCTGAGCAGGATTTTTGGGTTTCAGCCAAGGATTTCCCACATTTTTCTGACTCCTCGTGAACCTGTTGGCTTTTAGCCAACATTGACGAATCAAATTTTTGGGACTCCTCTTGAACCCGTTGATTCTTGGCCAACGTTGATGACTCAACCAAGGATTTCCCAATTTTTTGTGACTCCTCTTGAACCCGTTGATTCTTGGCCAACGTTGATGACTCAACCAAGGATTTCCCAATTTTTTGGGACCCCTCATGAACCCGCTGATGCTTGGCCAACGCCGACGGATCCGAGAACGTTTTCCCGCACTCGCCGCAACTTTTCCGGGACCCGGCTCCGTGCGCCCGCTGATGCTTCTGGAAGTGGAGTGTGGAATTAAAACTCTTCCCGCACTCCCCGCAGACGTGGGGCCGACCCCCGGCGTGCGTCCGCTGGTGCCGGTAAAGATGAGACGTCCTCCCAAAACTCTTTCCGCACTCGGGACACTCGTAGGGTTTCTCCCCGGTGTGAATCCGTTGGTGCCTCTCCCAATGGGAACTCCAGGAAAAACTCTTCCCGCAATCCCCGCACCGATACGGCTTCTCGGCGCCGGAGCCGCCGTGGAAACTCCGCCGGTGCCGCGCGTACTGCGAGCGCGCGCCGAAAGCTTTGCCGCACTCCTCGCAGCGGAAGGGGCCCTCGCCGAGGTGAATCCGTTGGTGCTTCACCAACGCCGGCGCGTCGCCGAAGCTCTTCCGGCACAGGGAACATTTGTAGGGTCTCATCCCGGTGTGCGTCCGTTGGTGCCGCTCGAAATGGAGGATGCTGCCGAAACTCCGCCCGCAGTAGGTGCAGATGTACGAACGCCCCCCGGCGTGGCCGCGTTGGTGCCGGTAAAGATGAGAACTCCTTGAAAAACTCTTCCCGCACTCCGGGCACTCGTAGGGTTTCTCCCCGGTGTGAATCCGTTGATGCCGAAGCCAATGGGAACTCCAGGAAAAACTCTTCCCGCAATCGCCGCACTGGAAGGGCAAATTCCCGGTGTGGAGCCGTTGATGAGTGGCCAACTCTTTATTCCGCCGGAAGCTCTTCCCGCATTCCTGACATTTATAGGGAAGCCCGCGGGGTTTTTCCGGCGCCGATTCGGCGCCGCCGTGGCCGCGTTGGTGCCGGTAGAGGTTGGAAGAGACGTTGAAGCTCTTCCCGCAGTGGAAACACCGGAACGGTTTTTCCCCGGTGTGCGTCCGGCGATGTTTGGAAAAATGGGAGCTGCAGCTGAAGCTCTTGCCGCATTCCGAGCACTCGTAGCTCTTTTGGAGCACGATGATGCTCTTGAAGTTGGAGAAACTTTGGGATTTGGGGTTTCTCTTCCGGCTCTTCGACGACGTCCCGGGGTCGATTTGTTGAACCACGGTCCAACGGAAAGTTTCCCGCTCGGAAAGGTCGGGGTTGGGGAAGAGGGCGCCGGGATCCAATTCCACGATTTCCGGAGCCGCCGCCAACGTTGGGTTCGAGTCGGGCGTTCCTGGGGTTTGGGAGAGGGGGAAAATTGGGAATTTTGGGGGGTTTTCCTGTTTTTTTTCTGGGATTTTTCCCTATTTTTTGTGGGGTTTTTCCAGCTTCTTGTGGAATTTTCCCCATTTTTTACAAGATTTGTCCCCAATTTTTACGGGATTTGCCCCCATTTTTTATGGGGTTTTCCCCAATTTTTGTGGCGTTATCCCAATTTTTTGTGGAATTTTTCCCAATTTTTGGTGGGGTTTTCATCATTTCCTGTGGGATTTTCCCAATTCCCATGGGATTTCCCCAATTCCCATGGGATTTCCCCATTTTTCATGGGGTTTTCCCTTTTAATTTCCCCAATTTTTGTGAAGTTTTCCCCATTTTTTACGGGATTTATCCCCATTTTTTATGGGGTTTTCCCCATTTTTTTGTGGCGTTATCCCAATTTTTTGTGGAATTTTCCCCATTTTTTGGTGGGGTTTTCATCATTTCCTGTGGGATTTTCCCAATTCCCATGGGATTTCCCCATTTTTTTATGGGGTTTTCCCATTTTTTTTGGAATTTCCCCCATTTTTACGAGATTTCCATGGGGATGGGAACAGATGCATCGATCCCATCAATTTTAATCCAAATTTTTCCCCTCAATTCCCCGACGAAATCCCACGGGAAATGGGATTTTTGGGATAAGAAATGAGGGAAAAAAAAAATCCCATTAATGGGAAAATAATTGAATTCCCACGGGATTTGGAGGCTGAATTCAATTGGGATGGAGGCCACGGATTTCTGGGAATTTTTCATGGGATTTATGGGAATTTTTTATGGGTTTTATGGGAATTTTTTATGGGATTTATGGGAATTTTTTATGGGTTTTATGGGAATTTTTTCATGGGATTTATGGGAATTTTTCATGGGTTTTATGGGAATTTTTCATGGGATTTATGGGAATTTTTCATGGGATTTATGGGAATTTTTAATGGGTTTTATGGGAATTTTTCATGGGATTTATGGGAATTTTTCATGGGATTTATGGGGATTTTCCCCCTTCCCAAACTTACCCTGGATTCCGTTGGGATCGTAGGGATCTTCCTCCCCCTCATCCCCAAAAATCACCTCCGGCTCCGCCCCCTCCTCCTCCTCTTCCTCCTCCCCCCACGGATCCATCGCCCGCTCCAGGATCCTGGAAAATCCCAAAAAAATTAAAATTCAGTCCCCAAATAATTCCAGCCCTTAAAAATTCTGTCCCAAAAAAAATTCCAGACCCCAAAAAATTCCAGCCCCTAAAATTCCAGCCCCAAAAAATTCCAGGAATTAAAAGATCCACAATTCCCATTTTTTTCCACAAATGAAAGACCCCAAAATCCTAAATTTTTCCAGGAATATAAGGCCCCAAATCCCCAATTTTTCCACAAATTAAATACCCCAAATCTTCAATTTTCCCAGAAATTAAAGACTCCAAATCCCCAATTTTTCCATTAATTAAAGACCCCAAAATCCTGATTTTCCCAGGAATTAATGACCCCCAAAACCCGATTTTTCCATGAATTAAACACCCCAAAATCCCCAATTTTTCCAAGAATTAAAGACCCCAAAATCCCCAAATTTCCAAAGAATTAAAGACCCCCAAATCCCCCATTTTTTCCACAAATTAATGACCCCAAATCCCCAAATACTCCTGGAATTAATGACCCTAAAATCCCGATTTTTCCCATTAATTAGAGACCCCCAAATCCCGATTTTTTCCCTTAATTAGAGACCCCCAAATCCTCAATTTTTCCACGAATTAAAGACCCCAAATCCCCAATTTTTGTAGGAATTTAAATTTACTTAAATTCCAGCGCCCCCCCATTTAAAAATTGGGTTTTTTAACCCCTTCATTCCCTGCATTTTTTTTTTCCATGGAAACACCGAATCCTTCTTTAAACCCTTCCCAAAATTTAAAAAACCTGGATTTGGGTGGGAATTAAGGTGGGAATTTTGGGGGGGGTCCCTTCCCTAAAATTCCTCCGTTTCCCCAGCCCTGGACCCCCAAAATTCCTTGAAAATTCTCCAAAAATTCCCTTAAAAATCCCAAAAAAATCCCTAAAAATTCTCCCCAAAATCCCTACAAATTCCCCCCAAAAATCCCTAAAATTCCCCGAAATTGCCCAAAAAAATCCACTAAAAATTCCCCCAAAATTTTTCAAAATCCCCAAAAATTCCCTTAAAATTCCCTTTTGAAATCCTTTAAAATCCCTAAAAAAATTCCCCAAAATTACCTAAAAATTCCCCAAAAATTTTCCCCCCAAAATCCCTAAAAATTAAAAAAAAATCCCTAAAAAAATTCCCCCCCAAAAAAAATTCCCAAACCATGAAAAAACCCCAAATTTAAAGATTTTTTTTTCCCCTCCAGGATCCCAAACTCTGACCAGGAGCTGTCGGAATTCCAGGAATTTGGGATTTTTCCCAAAAAAATCCGGGATCAACTCGGAATTCCGGGACGAGATGCAGGAAAGCTACGAAAGCGTCATTTCCTTGGGTAAGACCCCAAATTTCCTTGGATTTCTCCTTAATTTGGGATAAAAATCCTTAATTATTAATCCCAAAATTGAAATTAATTGGGTTTAATTAAAAAATCGGAATTAAAACCCCAATTCCGGCCGGATTTTCCGGGATTTTCCCACATTTTGGGGTCTGAGTCATGTCCAGTTGTTCCCCCAAAAATCAGCAAAATTTATTCACCCAAAAATCAACAAAATTCGCCCAAAATTTGGGGATTTCACCCCGAAACGGAGCCGGGGTGGGAAAATGGGGTGTGGAAAATTCCCAAAATTCACAAAGTTCACAAAAATTCCCGATTTTTCCCCCAAAAGCCGAGGAGATCGCCATCAGCTGGCCACGGATCACCGCCTTCGCCGAATCGCACCGGAGACGCGGCCTGGGCGCCGGTGAGTCAATGGGGGTTGGATCTTCCAGTTGGGTCAACGCAACCCAAAATGGGTTTGGACTCTTCCAGTTGGCCAACGCAACCATGAATGGGTTGGACTCTTCCAGTTGGCCAACCCAACCAAGAGCGTGGTTGGGCTCCTCTACTTGGTCAACCCAACCTAGGGCATGGTTGGACTCTTCCAGTTGGCCAACGCCACCAAGAGAGGGTTTGGATCTTCCAGTTGGCCAACGCAACCAAGAGTGGGTTTGGGGTCTTCCAGCTGAAGTCCTCAAAATCCCCAAATTCCACCAAGATCCCCAAAGACCCCCAAGGCCTCTCCAAGACCCCAAACCCTTCCAGAGTCCCAAAAACCCCCCCAAGACCCCAAACCCTCCAAAAAATCCCCAAATCCCCCCAAGACCCCAAAGCTCCTCCAAGACCCCAAATCCCCCCAAAATTCCCAAATCCCCCCAAGACCCCAAACTCCTCCAAGACCCCAAAAACTTCTCCAAGACCCCAAAACCCCCCAAGACCCCAAACCCGTCCATGACCTCAAACACCCAAAAATCCCCAAGACCCTCAAAGTTCCCCAAGACCCCAATTCTCTCCAAGACCCCAAAATTCCCAAAACCCCAAAATCCCCCCAAAATCCCCAAAGTTCCCCAAGACTCCAAACTCCTCCAAGACCCCAAACCCCCCAAAACCAAAACCCCCCAAAAAACCCCAAAACCTCCCCAGATCCCCCCTTTTCCCCCCCTCCAGACGCCGTCCCGGCCTCGCCGAGCGACAACGACGAGGAAGAGCCGCCGCCGGACCCTCTGGAAAAACCCGAAATCCCCGGCACGCCGCCGGCGCCGAACCCCAAATCCCCCCCGAGCCCAACCGGTGCCAAACCCGGCACGGCCGAGACCCCGAAAGCGGAACCCCAACCCCGAAAAGCGCCGGGAAAACGCCAAGGAAAATCCGGCTTCAAGAAATTCCAACCGCGCAACCTCCGCTGCCACGACTGCGGCAAAGCTTTGGCGTTGCCGAAACGCCGGCGCGGGACGGAACGACCCCATAAATGCCCGGAATGTGGGAAGAGTTTCCGGTTGAGCTCCAGTTTGGTGACCCACCAACGCCGGCATTCCGGTGAAAATCCCTACAAATGCCCCGATTGCGGGAAATCCTTCAGCGTTGGCTCGGCGTTCATCCAGCACCAACGGATCCACGCCGGCGCGGCGCCGTGCCGGTGCGGGGTTTGCGGGAAGAGCTTCCCGGCGAGTTCGGGTTTGGTGAAGCACCAAAAGCTTCACCTGGAGGAGAAACCCTACAAATGCGGCGATTGCGGGAAAGGATTCAACTGGAATTCCCACCTGGAGCGGCACCGGAGGATTCACACCGGTGAGAAACCCTACGAGTGCCCGGAGTGCGGGAAGAGTTTTTCTTGGAGTTCCCACCTGGATCGGCATCGCCGAACCCACGCCGCGGCGGAAGCCGGCGGGCGCTGCGCCGAGTGCGGGGCGGGATCGCCGGAAGCGCCGGAATGCGGAACGGCTAAAACGCCGAGAAACCCCAAAACGGCCAAAAAAGCGGCGGAGAAACCCCACAAATGCACGGAATGCGGGAAGGGTTTCGGCGTCGCCGCGGCGTTGGCGCAGCACCGGCGCGGCCACGCTCCCGGCAAACCCTACGAGTGCCGGGAATGCGGGAAAAGCTTTTCCTGGAGTTCCCACCTGGATCGGCACCGGCGAATCCACATGGGGGAAAAACCTTTCCGATGCGGCAGCTGCGGCAAGAGTTTTTCCCAAAGCTCCCACTTGGAACGGCACCGGAAAATCCACCGGGAGCCATGCCGGGAATGCGGCAGAAACGAGGGGAAAAAAGGAGGGAAAAGCTTCCAAAAACGCTGCCGGATTTCGGGGGAGCCGCGCGGCGATTGCGGCGCCGGGGCGGCGTGGGAGGAGAAATGCGGCGAGTGCGGGAAAAATTTGGGTTTGGGCTCGAATTTGGGGTCGAATTTGAAGGATCAAGGCACCCAAACCGGCGAGAAACCCTACGCGTGCCCGGAATGCGGCAAGAGCTTCGGTCAAAACTCGGCGTTGGCCAAACACCGGCGGATGCACACGGGGGAGAAACCCTACAAATGCCCCGAGTGCGGGAAAAGCTTCGGCGTCCGCTCCAACCTCATCAAACACCAGCGCACCCACCTGGGCGAGAAACCCTACAAATGCCCCGATTGCTCCAAAGGCTTCATCCAAAAATCCGACCTCACCAAACACCGGCGGATGCACACCGGCGAGAAACCCTACAAGTGCCAGGAGTGCGGCAAGTGCTTCAGCGTCTCCTCCAACCTCATCAAGCACCAACGGATCCATCTGGGCGAGAAACCCTTCCAGTGCTCCGAGTGCGGCAAGAGCTTCATCCAGCGCTCCGAGCTCACCATCCACCGGCGCGTCCACACCGGCGAGAAGCCCTACAAGTGCCCCGAGTGCGGGAAGTGCTTCAGCCGCAGCTCGCACCTCAACCGGCACCAGCGCACCCACGGCAAAGCCGCCGCCGCCGCCTCTTCCTCTTCCTTCCCGGCCTCCTCTTCCTCCTTCTCTTCCTCGTCCTTCTCTTCTTCTTCTTCCTCCTTCTCCTCCTCCTCCTCCTCGGCCTTCCCAGCGTTCCCGGGCTCCTCGGCCGTGCCGGCGGCGTTGGAGCTGCCCTGGGCGTTGGCGTTGCCAGGCCGGGCGTTCCCGGGGTTTCCGGTGGGTAATTAGGGAGGTGGTTAATTAGGGGTGGGGGGTTGGTTGGGTAATTAAAGGGGGGAGATGGGGGATTCCCATGGTTCCGGTGGGTTCCCGGCGTTCCCGGTGCTCCCAGTGCCCAACTGGGATTGGCCAACGCAAGACCCAACCTTGGGTTGGTCCCGTTGAATTCTCATGGCTAATTAATGATCTCTGATTAATTAGGGGTGAATTCATTCATTAATTAACGGAGCACCTGGCCGGGTTTTTGGCGGCTCACCGGCACGGGAGGCTCTTCCAGTGCGGGCAGTGCGGGCGGTGTTTCGGTCAAGGCGCGGCGTTGTTGAAGCATCAACGCTCTCACGGCACCGGCGGCGGCGCCGAACCGGCGGCGCCGAAATGCCTGGATTGCGGGAAAAGCCGGGGGTTGTGCCAGGATTGCGGGCGGCAACCGGAAACGGCGCCGGAGAAGCCGTACAAGTGCCAGGAATGCGGGAAAAGCTTCGGGCAGCGCTCGGCGCTGGTGAAACACCGGCGCATCCACACCGGCGAGAAACCCTACAAATGCCCCGATTGCTCCAAAGGCTTCATCCAAAAATCCGACCTCACCATCCACCGGCGGATGCACACCGGCGAGAAACCCTACAAGTGCCAGGAGTGCGGCAAGTGCTTCAGCGTCTCCTCCAACCTCTTGACCCACCAGAGGACGCATCTGGGCGAGAAACCCTTCCAGTGCTCCGAGTGCGGCAAGAGCTTCATCCAGCGCTCCGAGCTCACCATCCACCGGCGCGTCCACACCGGCGAGAAGCCCTACAAGTGCCCCGAGTGCGGGAAGTGCTTCAGCCGCAGCTCGCACCTCAACCGGCACCAGCGCACCCACGGCAAAGCCGCCGCCGCCGCCTCTTCCTCTTCCTTCCCGGCCTCCTCTTCCTCCTTCTCTTCCTCGTCCTTCTCTTCTTCTTCTTCCTCCTTCTCTTCCTCCTCCTCCTCCTCCTCGGCCTTCCCGGCGTTCCCGGGCTCCTCGGCCGTGCCGGCGGCGTTGGAGCTGCCCTGGGCGTTGGCGTTGCCGGGCCGGGCGTTCCCGGGGTTTCCGGTGGGTAATTAGGGAGGTGGTTAATTAGGGGTGGGGGGTTGGTTGGGTAATTAAAGGGGGGAGATGGGGGATTCCCATGGTTCCGGTGGGTTCCCGGCGTTCCCGGTGCTCCCAGTGCCCAACTGGGCTTGGCCAACACAAGACCCAACCTTGGGTTGGTCCCATTGAATTCTCATGGCTAATTAATGATCTCTGATTAATTAGGGGTGAATTCATTCATTAATTAATTGGGAACTTGGGGAATTTCCATCATTCCATTGTTTCGGTAGGTTTCCGGCATTCCCAGTGCTCCCAGTGCCCAACTGGGATTGGCCAACGCAAGACCCAACCTTGGGTTGGTCCCGTTGAATTCTCATGGCTAATTAATGATCTCTGATTAATTAGGGGTGAATTCATTCATTAATTAATTGGGAACTTGGGGAATTTCCATCATTCCATTGTTTCGGTAGGTTTCCGGCATTCCCAGTGCTCCCAGTGCCCAACTGGGATTGGCCAACGCAAGACCCAACCTTGGGTTGGTCCCGTTGAATTCTCATGGCTAATTAATGATCTCTGATTAATTAGGGGTGAATTCATTCATTAATTAATTGGGAACTTGGGGAATTTCCATCATTCCATTGTTTCGGTAGGTTTCCGGCATTCCCAGTGCTCCCAGTGCCCAACTGGGCTTGGCCAACCCAACACCCAATGTTGGGTTTGGTCCCAACTAGTTCCCATTTAATTTCAGTGCCCGATTAATGATCTGTAATTAATCCCATCATTCCGTGGTTCCGGTGGGTTCCCGGCATTCCCAGTGCTCCCAGTGCCCAACTGGGCTTGGCCAACCCAACACCCAACCTTGGTTTGTCCCATTGAGTTTTCATGGCTAATTAAGGATCTCTGATTAATTAGGGGTGAATTAATTCATTAATTCAGTGGGGAGATGAGGAATTCCCATCATTTCCATGGTCCGGTCACTTCCCAGTGCTCCCAGTGCCCAACTGGGGTTGGTCAATCCCAAGACCCAACCTTGGGTTGGTCCCATTGAATTCTCATGGCTAATTAATGATCTCTGATTAATTAGGGGATGATTAATTGGCTAATTAATGACTGGAGGGGGAATTCCCATCATTCCCAGTGCTCCCAGTGCCCAACTGGGGTTGGTCAATCCCAAGACCCAACCTTGGGTTGTTGGGGGAAATTTGGGAAAATTTGGGAAATGTGGGAAAATAACGGAAAAATAATGGAAAAAATGTGGGAAAATAATGGAGAAAATGTGGAAAAATGTGGAAAAATATGGAAAAAATAATGGAAAATAAAGGAAAAGTGGGAAAATGTGGGAAAATGTAGAAAGATTAATGGAAAAAGAATGGAAAAATGTCGGGACATGGGGAAAAAAGTGGGAAAATAATGGAAAAAAGTGGAATAAATAATGGAAAAAATAACGGAAAAAATAATGGAAAATGTGGAAAAATAAAGGAAAATTGGGAAAATAAAGGAAAATTTGGAAAATGTGGAAAAATGTGTAATAAATATGGAAAAAAAATGTGGGGAAATAATGGAAAAATAAAGGAAAATATGGCAAAATAATGGAAAAATAATTGAAAAAAGTCAAATAAATGTGGAAAAATAATGGGAAAAATATGGAAAAATAAAAGAAAATTTGGGAAAATGTTGGAAAATGTGGAAAAATACGGATATTCTTATTTTTTGGGGTGGGAATTCCCATTTTTTGGGGTGGTTTTCCCGATTTTTTGGGTGGATTTTCATTTTTTTTGGTTGGATATTCCAAATTTTTTTGTGTTTTCCCCCTTTTTTCCCAGGATTTTCCCATTTTTTGGGTTTTTTTCCCCATTTTTTTCTGTCTTTTCCTATTTTTTATCCAGATTTTCCCTTTTTTGTGTGGATTTTCCCATTTTTTCTGGGGGTTTTCCTAAATTTTTGTGATTTTTTTTTTCCCTTTTTCCCAAGGATTTTCCCCACCTTTTTTGGGGGAATTGTTCCCATTTTTTGAGGGTTTATTCCCAGATTTTTTTGGGGATTTTTTCCCATTTTTTGGGGGGGATTTTCCCATTTTTTTGGAGATTTTCCCAAGCAAAACCCATTTGGGATGAAGCTGAAAAAAATTGGGATAAAAAATTGGGAAAATCCCCCAAAATAAACCAAAAAATTCCCAAAAAAAAGGGGAATAATCCCAAAAAAAATCCACGGATGATGAGAGGAAAAGAAAAACTCGGAATTACAACAAGAAGGAATTTTATTGATATCAACATTTTTCCGGGATTTTTTTCCCCCCCAAAATTCCCAAATTCCTGAATTTTCCCGGAATTCCTGGAGGATTTTTTGGGTATTTTGGGGATTTTTGGATGAAATTCGTGGAAATTTCCGGGGCTGCCTCGAACCAGGGGGGGGTTCTCATCACAGCCCCACCCCCAAAAATTCCCAAAAATCCCAAAAATTCCCAAAAATTCCAGACCCCCTCTTTAGTGCAATTGGGCTCTTGGCTCCATTTTGGGAAAGGGGAATTATCCCAAAAAAAAAGTTGGGAATTCTGGGGGGAAATTGGGATTTTGGGGGGTGGGAGTCCCAAAATCCCCAAATTTCAGGGGTTTAGTCCCAAAAAATCCCAAATTTCAAGGATTTCTTCCCAAAAAATCCCAAATTCCAAGGATTTATCCCCAAATTCCAGGGTTTAATCCCAAAGAATTTCATATTTCAGGGATTTTTTTTCCCAAAAAATCCCAAATTTTGGGGGTTTATTCTCAAAAAAATCCCAAATTTTGGAATTTATTCCCAAATTCCAGGGGTTTAGTCCCAAATTTCAGTGGTTTAGTCCCAAAATTCCAAGGATTTATCCCTCCCCCCTACCCAAAATCCTAAATTCCAGGGATTTAAACCTAAAAATCCCCAAAATTCCAGGGATTTATTCCCAAAAAAATCCCAAATTCCAAGGATTTATCCCCAAAATTCCAGAGATTTGTTCCCAAAATCCCCTCCAGGAATTTCCTGGGATTTCTGGGGGGGATTTTTGGGGGAATTTTTGGAGATTTTGTGGGATTTCCTGAGGATTTTGTGAGAATTTTTTTGGATTTCATGGGAATTTTGTGGGGTTTTTTTGGGATTTTGGGAATTTTCCAGATTTTTTTTGGGATCTCCCTGGGAATTTGTGGGATTTTTCAGCACTTCTTTGGGACGTCTTTGGAATTTTATGGGATTTCTTGGGATTTCCTTTGGAATTTTTTGGGATTTTCCTGGGATTCTTCAGGATTTCCTTGGAATTTTTTGGGATTTCCTTGGGATTTTTTGGAATTTTGTGGGATTTCTTTGGGACATTTTGGGATTTCCTTGGGGTTTTTCAGGACTTTTTGGGTTTTGTGGGATTTTCTTGGGAATTTCCTTGGATTTTTTTGGGGATTTCTTTGGAATTTCCACAGGATATTTTGGGATCCTCTCGGAATTTTGGGGGGGATTTTCCCATTTTTTTGGAGATTTTCCCAAGCAAAACCCATTTGGGATGAAGCTGAAAAAAATTGGGATAAAAAATTGGGAAAATCCCCCAAAATAAATGAGAAAATACCAAAAAATTCCCAAAAAAAAGGGGAATAATCCCAAAAAAAATCCACGGATGATGAGAGGAAAAGAAAAACTCGGAATTACAACAAGAAGGAATTTTATTGATATCAACATTTTTCCGGGATTTTTTTCCCCCCCAAAATTCCCAAATTCCTGAATTTTCCCGGAATTCCTGGAGGATTTTTTGGGTATTTTGGGGATTTTTGGATGAAATTCGTGGAAATTTCCGGGGCTGCCTCGAACCAGGGGGGGTTCTCATCACAGCCCCACCCCCAAAAATTCCCAAAAATCCCAAAAATTCCCAAAAATTCCAGACCCCCTCTTTAGTGCAATTGGGCTCTTGGCTCCATTTTGGGAAAGGAGAATTATCCCAAAAAAAAAGTTGGGAATTCTGGGGGGAAATTGGGATTTTGGGGGGTGGGAGTCCCAAAATCCCCAAATTTCAGGGGTTTAGTCCCAAAAAATCCCAAATTTCAAGGATTTCTTCCCAAAAAATCCCAAATTCCAAGGATTTATCCCCAAATTCCAGGGTTTAATCCCAAAGAATTTCATATTTCAGGGATTTTTTTTCCCAAAAAATCCCAAATTTTGGGGGTTTATTCTCAAAAAAATCCCAAATTTTGGAATTTATTCCCAAATTCCAGGGGTTTAGTCCCAAATTTCAGTGGTTTAGTCACAAAATTCCAAGGATTTATCCCTCCCCCCTACCCAAAATCCTAAATTCCAGGGATTTAAACCTAAAAATCCCCAAAATTCCAGGGATTTATTCCCAAAAAAATCCCAAATTCCAAGGATTTATCCCCAAAATTCCAGAGATTTGTTCCCAAAATCCCCTCCAGGAATTTCCTGGGATTTCTGGGGGGGATTTTTGGGGGAATTTTTGGAGATTTTGTGGGATTTTTTTGCAGTTTTTGGGATTTCCTGAGGATTTTGTGAGAATTTTTTTGGATTTCATGGGAATTTTGTGGGGTTTTTTTTGGAATTTGGGAATTTTCCAGATTTTTTTTGGGATCTCCCTGGGAATTTGTGGGATTTTTCAGCACTTCTTTGGAATGTGTTTGGAATTTTATGGGATTTCTTGGGATTTCCTTTGGAATTTTTTGGGATTTTCCTGGGATTCTTCAGGATTTCCTTGGAATTTTTTGGGATTTCCTTGGGATTTTTTGGAATTTTGTGGGATTTCTTTGGGACATTTTGGGATTTCCTTGGGGTTTTTCAGGACTTTTTGGGTTTTGTGGGATTTTCTTGGGAATTTCCTTGGATTTTTTTGGGGATTTCTTTGGAATTTCCACAGGATATTTTGGGATCCTCTCGGAATTTTCCAGCATTTTACGGGATTTGCTTGGGACTTTTTGGGATTTCCTTCAAATTTCTCAGGATTTCCTCGGAATTTTTTGGGATTTCTCAGGATTCCTCGGAATTTTCCCCCTCAGAATTCCCAAATTTCCCCCCATCCTCTCACAGGCTGACGCTCCGATGGTGCCGAAAACCCCTCGGCCTCTCCCGCCCCTCCCCCAGCTCCTCGCTGTGCAGGCTCAGCGCGTCCGGAATTCCCGAAATTCCCGGAATTCCCGACAAATGTTCCACCGAGTCGAACTTCTGCAGGTCCGAGGCGATGGTCTGCAGGCTCAGCAGCGACAGAGAATCCCCGGAGGTGGAGATTTCCCGCGGAATTCCGGGCGTTTCCGAGGGAATTCCGGGCGTTTCCGACAGAATTCCGGGAATTCCGCACGTTGCCGAGGAGATCGCGCCGAAATTTTTGGGGTTTTCGCCGGGAATTCCAAGAATTTCTCTTGGAATTCCACACGTTGCCGAGGAGACTGAGGTGAAATTTCCGGGATTTTCGCTCAAATTTCCGGGATTTTCTCTTGGAATTCCAGGAATTTCAGGGTTTTCTCTAAGAATTCCGGGAATTTCGAGGTTTTCTCTCGGAATTCTGCCCATTCCAGCCGGGAATTCTCTGGGAATTTCTCTTGGAATTCTGCCCATTCCGATTTCAGCAGGAATTCCAAGATTTTCACTGGGAATTCCGGGATTTTCTCTCGGAATTCCAGGAATTCTGTTCGTTCCGGCCAGGATTTCTCTGGGATTTCCAGAATTATCAGGAATTTCAGTCGGAATTCCAAGATTTTGGCCTGGAATTCCGGGAATTCTTCCGATTCCAGCCGAGATTTCAGTGGAAAATCCAGGATTTTCACCAGGAGTTTTGGGATTTTCACCGGGAATTCCGAGATTTCCAGGGATTTCTCCAGGAATTCCGGGGATTTCTCTGGGAATTCTGTGGTTTTCTCTTGGAATTCCAGAAATTTCTCCGGGAATTCCGCGGACTTCAGGGTTTTCTCTTGAAATTCCGGGGGTTTCTCCAGGAATTTCTCCAGGAATTCCACAGTTTTCCCTTGGAATTCCAGGAATTTCTCTGGGAATTCTGTGGTTTTCTCTTGGAATTCCAGAGATTTCTCCAGGAATTCCGTGACTTTCTCTCGGAATTCCGGGGATTTCTCCGCGGATTTTGGAATCTTCTCTCGGAATTCCGGGGATTTCTCCGCGGACTTTGAGGTTTTCGCCGGGAATTCCGCGGCTTTCTCCGGGAATTCCGCGGCTTTCTCTCGGAATTCCGGGGATTTCGGGGTTCCCGGGGCCGCCCTCGGCTCCCAGGGGGTTTTCCCGGAGTTTTTTTTTCCGGAGGATCCTCTGGAACCTGCGGGCGTGGATCTCCTCGCTGATCTGCTCCAGGTTCCGCAGCGCCACCGAGTAGCGCAGCTTGGCCTGGGACACGGCCGATTCCAGGGAATTCACCCGGGATTTGTGCTCCTGGAGAAGGGGAAAAGGAGGGAATCCTTCCGAGATTTCCAGGGATTTCTCCAGGAATTCCGGGGATTTCTCTGGGAATTCTGTGGTTTTCTCTTGGAATTCCAGGAATTTCTCCAGGAATTCCGCGGACTTCAGGGTTTTCTCTTGAAATTCCGGGGGTTTCTCCAGGAATTTCTCCAGGAATTCCACAGTTTTCTCTTGGAATTCCGGGGATTTCTCTGGGAATTCTGTGGTTTTCTCTTGGAATTCCAGGGATTTCTCCAGGAATTCCATGATTTTCTCTCGGAATTCCGGGGATTTCTCCGCGGATTTTGGAATCTTCTCTCGGAATTCCGGGGATTTCTCCGCGGACTTTGAGGTTTTCGCCGGGAATTCCGCGGCTTTCTCCGGGAATTCCGCGGCTTTCTCTCGGAATTCCGGGGATTTCGGGGTTCCCGGGGCCGCCCTCGGCTCCCAGGGGGTTTTCCCGGAGTTTTTTTTTCCGGAGGATCCTCTGGAACCTGCGGGCGTGGATCTCCTCGCTGATCTGCTCCAGGTTCCGCAGCGCCACCGAGTAGCGCAGCTTGGCCTGGGACACGGCCGATTCCAGGGAATTCACCCGGGATTTGTGCTCCTGGAGAAGGGGAAAAGGAGGGAATCCGTGAAAATTCGTGGAACGTCCAAAAATCCGGGTGAAAATCGGTGAAAATTCCGTGAAAATCTGGTGAAAATACGTTAAAAACCTGTTTAAATTGATTAAAAAATGGGTTTAATGCCTAAAAATTCCAAGGAATTCTTGAAGGTTCCAAGGAATTCCTAAAAATTCCCAAAAATTTGTGTGGGAAACACTGAAAATTTGATGAAAATTGGAAAAAAATTGGTTAAAAAATGTGAAAAATGGGTTAAAATTAATTAAAAATGCGTTTAATGCCTAAAATTTCCAAGGAATTCCTCAAGATTCCAAAGAACTCCTTAAAAAATCCGAGGAATTCCTAAAAATTCCTTTTATTCCGTAAAAAATCTGGGGGAAATCCCACAAAAAAATTGGATGAAAATCCATTAAAATTGGGTTAAAGTCCCTAAGAAATTCCTCAGAATCACCAAAAAAAAAAAATGGGTTAAAATTAATTAAAAATACGTTTAATGCCTAAAATTTCCAAAGAATCCCTGAAGATTCCAAAGAATTCCTTAAAAAATCCGAGGAATTCCTAAAAATTCCTTTTATTCCGTAAAAATCTGGGGGAAATCCCACAAAAAAAATTGGATGAAAATCCATTAAAATGGGGTTTAAATCCCTAAGAAATTCCTCAGAATCACCAAAAAATCAATGGGAAAAATGGGATTGGAAGCTCCCAGTTCATCCCAGTCCCTCCCAGTCCCTCCCAGTTCCTCCCAGTCCCTCCCAGTTCATCCCAGTCCCTCCCAATCCATCCCAGTCCATCCCAGTTCCCTCTTTACCTCCAAGTTCTTCTCAGATCCTTCTCTCCCAGTGCTCCCAGTCCATCCCAGTGCTCCCAGTATCCCCAGTATCCACTCCAATCCAAATCCCAGTGCTCCAAACTGGTCCCAGTGACCCTCCCAGTCCATCCCAGTTCTCCCAGTCCATCCCAGTTCCTCCCAGTCCATCCCAGTTCCCTCTTCATCTCCAAGATCTTCTCCACTTCTCTCTCAGCAGTTCCAGTGCTCCCAGTATCCGGCCAAACTGGGATTCCCAGTGCTCCCAGTCCATCCCAGTTCATCCCAGTCCCTCCCAGTTCCTCCCAGTTCATCCCAGTCCCTCCCAGTTCATCCCAGTCCCCTCTTTACCTCCAAGTTCTTCTCAGACCCTTCTCTCCCAGTGCTCCCAGTGCTTTTCCAGTCCCTCCCAGTATCCCCAGTATCCCCTCCAATCCCAATCCCAGTGCTCCAAACTGGTCCCAGTGACCCTCCCAGTGCTCCCAGTTCCTCCCAATCCATCCCAGTTCCCTCCCAGTTCCCTCTTCACCTCCAAGACCTTCTCCACTTCTCTCTCAGCAGTTCCATGGATGGAGAAGGTTTGGGATTGGTGGAATGGGGTTTGGAGAAGGTTTGGAGAAGATGGGATGGGGATTGGGATGGGTAGGAGAAGGTTTGGGATTGGTGGGATGGGGTTTGGAAAAGGTGGGATGGAGTTTGGGATGGCTGGAGAAGGTCTGGGATGAGTTGGAGAAGGTTTGGAGAAGGTGGGAGGAGTTGGAGATGGAAATTCCCATTTTTCCTGCAAATTTCAGGTGGTTTTTTTCCATTTTTTTCCCCATTTTTTCACCAATTTTCTCCATTTTTTTTATTTTTCCCCATTTTTTTTGCTTTTTCCCGTTTTCCCCAGATTTTACCCCAAACCCAGCACCTCCTGCTGGCCTTGGGATCAGATTTGGGATCAAAATTCCCATTTTTCCCCCATTTTTCCCCCATTTTTCCCCATTTTTCCACCGATTTTCCCCATTTTTTTTTTATTTCTCCCCATTTTTTTTGCTTTTTCCCGTTTTCCCCAGATTTTACCCCAAACCCAGTACCTCCTTGGCTCTCCTGCGGGCCTCGTAGTAGGGCCGGGCGCGGTCGATGCAGGTGCCCAGCTGGGAGCCCTGCGAGTTCAGCTTCCGCGCCGAGTCCGAGAGGATGCGGCGATAGCGGGAACGGGCGGCCTGGGGCGGGGGGAAACCAGTTTGGGACTGGTTTGGACTGGTTTGGGACTGGGAAAACCAGTTTGGGATTGGGAACCAGTTTGGGACTGGTTTGGACTGGTTTGGGACTGGGAAAACCAGTTTGGGATTGGGAACCAGTTTGGGACTGGTTTGGACTGGTTTGGGACTGGGAAAACCAGTTTGGGATTGGGAACCAGTTTGGGACTGGTTTGGACTGGTTTGGGACTGGGAAAACCAGTTTGGGATTGGGAACCAGTTTGGGACTGGTTTGGACTGGTTTGGGACTGGGAAAACCAGTTTGGGATTGGGAACCAGTTTGGGACTGGTTTGGACTGGGACAGACTGGGAAAACCAGTTTAGGACTGGTTTGGACTGGGCTGGACTGGTTTGGGATTGGGAAAACCAGTTTGGGATTGGGAAACGGGGACTGGAAACCAGTTTGGGACTGGTTTGGACTGGGATGGACTGGGAAAACCAGTTTGGGACTGATTTGGACCAGGATGGACTGGGAAAAGCAGTTTGGGACTGGTTTGAACTGGTTTGGACTGGTTTGGGACTGGGAAAACCAGTTTGGGACTGGGATGGACTGAGAAAACCAGTTTGGGATTGGGAAACGGGGACTGGAAACCAGTTTGGGACTCGGTTGGACTGGGATGTACTGGGAAAACCAGTTTGGGATTGGGAAAACCAGTTTGGGATTGGGAAACGGGGACTGGAAACCAGTTTGGGACTGGTTTGGACTGGTTTGGACTGG